GATTATATATATATGTATATGTATATATATATATATACGGTATATATATATATGTATATATATTATATACACACATATATATTATATATGTGTGTGTGTATGTATATATGTATATAATGAATTATAGGCACATGCAAGAAAAATAGATATTACACTTACCCTCTTGTAAGTATCAGCGATTCAGCTCACTAACCATTTACAAATCTGCTCTAATTATATGGATTTGTTATTCACGACTGGCCAAACGAGAGCCACGGGTGTGAACTCATCATAGCATGAGATTAAGATGTGTGAGGGCGTCAACCATACAAAAAAATATCATTTGGGAAAGGGAAAAAATAGGATAAAGCATTTGTCAAGGCCTAGATACCGCGATAATGTTAATAATCAGAACTGACTGACACGTTCCCACCCCTGATTTAGCTCTAAATTTTAAAATGTCAATGCATATCAATATTATGTATTGAAATAAGCGCTCACCAAAATTCTGAAAAGTTGTGCCCCATTACAGCCCCCCCCCCGTCTGGACACGCCCCTGGCCAGTCAGTAAAATATTATCGGCAACTATAATTCATGTTTGCTATTCAGGCTTTCATTTTTCTATAAATACCAGAATAGTCAGTTATTCGAAATTGCGTTCAGACGTGATTCTTAATGAATACGGTATTCTGTAGTTAAATTGATTGACGATATTTGCATATAAATTCGAATTGCAATCAAATTGTATGTTCTTATCGTATACTTGTCACAGTATTAACCTAAGCATAAGGGATGGTCTTACACTATTTCGTAAGTTAAAAACAATGATCAAATTGAGAGTTCCTTAAATTATTAAATTATTTCATGAACACTGTGGTCTTGCGTAAATTGTTCGTGCGTAGCACATGTCGTCACTACGGTTTTTGGGAGATCGAACTGTATGAACGTAATTGTGTTCTTTTTGTGATATATTCGTAAACAACCCTGTGATTATTGGCGGATTCATTGGCTTTCCCCCACCCCCCGGGCCGTGTGCTGCCAAGAAAAAAATCATACCATAATGGTTACTCCTTTTCAGCACCCGTGTGCTGATTTTTTTTTTTTTTTTTTTTTTTTTTTTTAAATGGGAAAATTAGAATTTTTTTTTTAATGGAAAAATTAGAAGTCGGAAATGCTCGCGCATTTCCCGCCATCTAAGAATCTGAATGTTCATCTCTGAGGAGTACCCACGGATCCCCCGTTCTCTTTGGTGTTCATCGATCATGGAAAAAAGAATAGGCACGTTGCAAAACTACTCATTTTTTTATGTAGGCCTATGTATACACCATGGGGTGGCGCCAGGATTTTCCCGACGGGGGGAGGGGGAGAGACGATGCCCTGACGGGGAGGGAGGCGATGCCCCGACGAGGGGTCAGATTTCCCCAACGAAAGCAGATTTTTGAATATTTAAAAAACTGGGGGGTGTAAAAATGAGTGGTTACACAATTACAATTACAATTTTGGCTTATGTGGCTGCACTTAGCAGGTAATTTTAGAGCTAAATCGGTCGCCGGACCGATTTTGGCACCGGACCACATTTTTCCTGACAGGCCTACAATGCACCTTATATTTAGTGACCGTCCAGGCCATAATTGATTTATAGGTCAGACTTCTTCTTTCTCCTCATCCAATTCAACAGTGAAGCGGGCGATATCTTAGCTTTACACAACAATGGAGTTTTTCTCACCCTTCCTCTAAACTCTTCCAGACGTCCGATGCTCATTATCACGGTAATTTTGTGTTTCCGACAGTACTGTAAATGTCATACAGGGGCGGATTAGGGCCGGCCCGGCCCCGGCCCCCCCCCCCCCTTTTGGGAGGTAAAAATAGGGGGAAAAAAGAAAGAAAAGAGAGAAAAAGAAAAAAATGATAGCCCAGAATGCCTCAAATGTTATGTTCGGGCGTCTAGAACACA